ATTAGACCAATGGTGAGAACCTTTGTTTTCTTGAGCTTTGTTTTGTTGGGCTTCGATCCATACCGAAGGTTTCAGTACTTGACCGTCTGCAGCAAGCCCTTCAGGTCTTCTTCAGTTTAAACAAGCAGGGTTGTGTAATCTGCATAACACAGGTTGTTGATGAATCTTTCTCTAATCCCAATGCCACAATTCTCATTATAGAACCCAGCCTTCTGGATGATCTGTTGTACATACAAACTTAAATGGTATAGAGATAAGATACATTCTTAGCATACACTCTTTCCGATTTTGAACCATTTCCATGCTCTATTAAGACAACTGCCTCCTGGCCCAGTATAGGTTTCAGACACCTACAATCAAGTGTTATAGGATTTTCTCCGAGTTAGTTAAAGTTTGTGGTGATCCACACAGTCAAATGCCTTTGCACAGTCAATGAAACATAGATAGACATTCCTTTGGTATTCTCCGTTATCTGCCAAGATCCATCTAACAATAGCTATAATATTCTTAGTATTACGGCCTCTTCTAAATAAAGCCTGCACTTGAGGCAGTTCTCTGTTGACGTGTTACTCCAGTCATTTTTGGATAATCTTCAGCAGAATCTTGCTTGCATGTGATATTAAAGACAGTGTTTGATAATTTCTGTGCTCTTGTTGAGCAGCCTTTCTTTGTAATGGAAACAAATATAGATCCCTTCCAGTCAGTTGGCCAGGCATCTGTCCTCCAGATTTCTTGGCACAACTTAGTGAGCACATCCAGGGCAGTGTCTGTTTGTCATACTGTCAATTCCGGGGGCCTAGTTTTTTGCCAATTTTTTTTTCAGAAAAGCTTCAACTTCTTCATCTCCACAGGCTCTTGTTTATACATCTTTTCATGAAATTCTTCTGTGTCAGCTAACTCCTTTTGGTACAATAACTCCGTATACTCCCTTCCATCTTCTTTTAATGCTTCCTGGATCATTTAGCATTCTTCCCAAAGCATCCCTAAGTATGACAACTCGAGACTTGAATTTATTTTTTAGTTCCTTCAGTTGAAGAAATGCTGAGTTCAGGTCTTTTGATTTTTTTACTCCAGCTCTTTCTACATTTCATTATAATACTTTGCTTTGTGTGTTACCATACTGCCCTTGGAAATCTTCTGTTCAGCTCCTTAATTTATTTATTCCCTTTGTTTTTGCTTCTCAGCATTCTAGTACAGTATTTAGAGTCTCTTCTGACATCCATTCTTGGTCTTTTCTCCTTTCTCTATATTTGTAATGACTTTTTTGCATTCCTCATAGATTAAATTCTTGATATCCTCCCACAGCTCATCTGGTCTTCACTTATTGGTGTTCAAGGCCTCAAATCTGTTCCTGAGATTATTTTTAAATTTGAGTGGGATAGACTCCAGGTAAAATTTTTATTCTTATGCTTTTAATTTTCTTTAGCTTCAGCTTAAACTTGCATATGAGTAGTTGGTGGTCTGCTCCACAATCAGCACCTGACCTAGTTTTCACAGCTGAAACTGAACTTCTCCAACGATTCTTTCCAAAGATGTAATCTACCTGATTCCTACAAAACCATCAAGTGAAAACCATATTGTAGCCCGTGCTTGTGTTTCTTATAAAAAGTATTTGCAATAAATAACTCATTAATTATATAGAATTCTATCATTCTTCATTTTCTGTCACCAAGTCCATGTTATCTAACTACTGATCCTTCTCTTTCCCCAACTTTTGCCTTCCAGCCACCCATTATAATTAACTTATCTTGCTTAAATATTCAATCAATTTCCAACTGCAAAAGTTGGTAGAAATCTTCTATTTCCTTCTCTTTGGCACTGGTTATTGGTGCATATATTGGAATGATAGCAGCATACACTGGACTTCCTTGTACGCATATGCCTATTACCCTGTCACTCACAACACTGTATTTCAAGATGAATCTAGAAATGACTTTTTTGTTTGTTTATTTAGAAATTACTTTTTAAAACTATGAAAGCAGCCTCAATTTCCCTCACCTTTTCATCACTGGCATAATAGATCTTATTGTCATCTGATTCAATATGTCATATGCCAATCCATCTCATTTCACCAATACCTGTTGTTGTTGTTGTTATGTGCCATCGAGTCATTTGCGACTAATAGCGACCCTATGTACAACAGCCCTAAACTCTGCTCTGTCCTGTGCCAATCGCACTGTCTCTGACACTCCCATCCCAATTATCCCAGTCACTGAATCAATCCACCTCATAGAGGGCCTTCCTCTCCTGCACTGTCCCTCCACCCTCCCAAGCATGATATCCCTCTCCAGGGACCGGTCCCACCTCACAACATGTCCAAAGTATGTTAGACGGAGCCTCAGAATCTTTGCCTCCAAGGAGCCACCCGGTTTAACCCTTTCCAGGACAAATCTGTTTGTTTTCCTAGCAGTCCATGGTATTCTCAATACTCTTCTACAGCACCACAGCTCAAAGGCATCAATCCTCCTTCTATCCTCCTTAGTCATTGTCCAACTCTCTGATGCATAACAAGCGATTGTGAAGACCATGGCCTGTATCCATTGCTCTTCAGTACTTTGGAGAGGTCCCTAACAGCAGACTTTCCCATGGCAATGCACCTTTTAATTTCCTGGCTGCTCCTATGTTCCATTTCTTTCTTAATACTATCAAATTTCCGTACATTCAGACTTCTCACATTCCACGTTAAAATCACTAGTGTCTGTGTACAACTCTTCCTCCTCCTTTGTGTTTCCGTATTTGAGGGCTCAGTCTTAGTTGCAATATCTGCTAGTCTAAGTGTGCTCTACTGTACAAAGGGTTTTCAAAAGCCTGTTATTTTGGGGAAAAAATATTACCTAAAAGTGACTCATAATAGTGAATACAGTAATTTCATTCACAGCATATATTTCTTGCTTTTGCCTTATAATAGAGCTCAACTTTTACAGAAGAGTGTGCTCAAGTAAAAGACAGTAATGTCCAAGATTACTGGTAGTAAAAAGAGGCCAATAATATCCAAGTGCAAAGTACAGATAAGATTTCCCAAAAAGTTGTTTTATTCCTTGCTTTTCCTTCTGACTGATGCCTGGGATACAGGAAAAATACGCTAAAGTTTTAGCAACCTTTGAAATCTTGAGTATTCATTAAGACTATCAGAATAGAGAAAAACGGACAAGAAGAAATCAAAACATGAAATAAAGTAAGGAGGCTAAAAAAAGTTTAAATGATTCAGTGTCTTTGTTAAACTTATATACACTGACTTCTGCATTGAAAGGCTCTAAGTCTCTAATGTTTATTATTAAAAATTGTCTTTCCAAGCTAAAAGATTAAGAACTATTTTACATTGAAGTAATTATTGTACTAAGGAGAGAAGATGCTATGCAGATGGTTGGGAATATGGAAATAGGGCATGTTAACCTATACACAAGGGAACTGGTCAGTCTCAACAATTTACAAGGGGACGGGCTAGTCTCACCATTGAACTAAGCAAGACGGTAGTGAGAGAGAAACAGATCTTCTGGAACCACTTAAACAAGAAACAAAACAATGGTGGAATGCCATACTTGCTCAAGCAGCAATATCTATGGCCAAACTGCAGACATGATATGAGAAGGGACCTTTTATGGTGAGAGAGCCAATTTTGGCAAGACTGAAAACTTGGGAAACACTAGTCTGAAGACTCGAGGCCAAGGTGTGTGTGCACATTTCGGGAGCTGTCTCGACTATTATTAACCTGGATTATAATGTTTTGACTTCCTTGATATAGTGGACTGTGAGATGTCACTTTGGATTTTAGACCCAGAAAAGCAGTAAGATTGGTGTTGAGATGAGTAGAAATAGGAACTGGTTTTGTGTTATTGATGCTATGGACAATCCTCTTTGGTGAAGTTGATAAAGGTCAGACATGGCCATCTCCACGTAGTCCTTGTGGATTGTACAAAGGTTGTTATTACTTGCCATCTAGTCACCTGAAACTCACAGTGACCCTATGTACAGCAGTTCTGAAGCCTGCCCTGTCCTGAGCCAGTTTCACGGATTCTGACACATCTACTCCATTGTCCCAGTTACTGTATCAATCCATTTCATCCAGAGTCTTCCTCTTCTGCACTGTCCCTCTACACTTCTGAGCATGATGTCCATCTCCAAGGATCAGTCGCTCCTGGTTATATGTCCAAAGTATGTGAGATTGAGCTTCAAAATCCTAGCCTCCAAGGAGAAACCTGGTTTCACCCTCTCCAAGACTGACCTATTTTTTTTGGTGGTCCATAGTATCTTTAAGACTCTTCTGCACTATAACTTGAAGGCATTGATTCTTCTTCTGTCATCCTTTATTACTGTCCAGTTCACTAATGCACAGCACGTAATTGTGAAGATAATGGCCTAGAGAAGGTTCATTTTAGTCTTTAAACTAACATCGTTGCTTTTCAGTACTGTAGAAAGGTTCCTAACAGCAGATTTTCCCAAAGCAATTCTTTTACAAAGGTACACCCAACAAAGAAAATTTTCGAGATGCAATATGCATCTATATTCCATGAAGCAAATTACTCACGTTTTTAAGTAATACACAAAAGAAGGGAATAAAATGAATACTTATCAAGTTTACTCTGTATTTGTCACTATAAAAATCACTTTACATAGTCATCAATGTAAACACAGAGATTTTATGTTGTTTAACCTTTCAGTCTCTCAATATTAATATGTATAAAAAGAATAAACATTGAAAATAAGACTTTCGAATGAATGACTAAATGAATGATGGCATCAACTCATTGAAAATTATTAGCAGTCCGTGGTGGCCTAGTGGCAGGAAGCTGTGCTACAATCCCTAAGGCACACAGTTCAAGGCCACCAGCTGCTCCACAGGAGAAAGATGGACAATCTCCTTCTTCTGTGTGATTAACTGCCACTGAAAACCCACTGGAGGGTCAGCTATAGGTCATTTCGACTTTACAGTACGCAAACTCAAGAACACTCTATCACTCAACTTGTTTTTTATTTTTTTAGAAAATCATAACCTCTCTTACCTTCTGTTGTTGGAAATACTTCTTCCCCTTCAGTTTTTGTCTCTGTCAGTTTTCCAGTTCTCAGTAATACTTCTGCAAAGCTTTCCATTGGAATGTGTTGATAGGTATTATAGTTTCCTTCAGACTAGACGAAAGAAGTAGTTACACTGTTTAGAGGAGTACTGAACATGTATTAGAAAATATCATTTTCTGTCTTTTGATGGCTTCAGTGGTAACTTCTCGGATACTAAGGCATATTATTTTACATAAAAGATGAAAGACATTACATAATTTCATGAAATGTCATAATAATTTAATTGTTAAATAAATAATATAAACTCATTTATCCAGAAGCAAAAACTGTATTTTCAGAAAATTCTTTGCTTTTCTTAAAACTAAAAGACTTACATTTGCATGACAGTTAAATCTTGTATTTTTATGTATCTTGTCCTTACCTCAGTAACAAAAGGATTGGCGATAACAGATTCATAAAATGGATGACAACCTTGTTTTTCTAGATCTTCATTGGCTGTACTTCTAATTTGATAAGCACTATCAAATCTTTGCCCCTAAATAGAACAAAGTGAAGAACAAGGAATAAGTAAAATTGAGAAAGAGAGAGGCTGATTTCAGGAGTGAGTGGCCAATATCCTTTCTGTGGTTAAGAGAGAGAGTGTAAGGATGCCACAGTCATGAAGGTAAAATTAAAAACGACATTTTAAGGACAACTTCAACCCAGATCTATGAAAGATTTTGGCTGTCCTGGCCATTTTGACATTAATGAAAGAGGAACACTAAATCACTCGGTGAAAATATAGGACTGGTTCTCTAGCCAATAGTCAGAATAATAACTCTACATATAATTTTGTATATGCCATTCCATAGTTAAAAAAAATATTTCGAAGCTTTGAACAATGTAAACAGGCAAGTGCAATATAACATTTAAATTGTTCCACAATGTGCCCAAAAACTTTATCTCCTGATATTTTTGCTTGCAAACTCTCCATTCTACTTAAACTGTTGCATTATACATATCCTACAACTCTCTGGGTTGTTTTTTCTCCCATTGTCAGAGTCCTGACCAAGAAGACTGATCATCTAGTTAGATTCTACTTGTTCATGTAATCCCAGCTCAAGTGTCCCCATCTGATGAAATTTTACAAGATCAAGGCAAGACCAAGATCATGTGAGAGGCAACTTTCATTATTCCCACCTTCTCTACAACTCTTACTCATGACAATGATGACTTCTACCTGAGCCCTGTGAACCTGGAAAACAAAAGAGAAATACCCCTACCCTTTGTAATCTAGAACATAGCATATGAAATACAATCAAGCTTTTTTATACCATATAAGAAGACATACAGATGCTCGGTGGATATTTTTTTTTAAGTAATAATAATTTCTCTGGTGCAAAAAGGGTAAGATATCTCCATTCTTTTTTATTCTGAAAATTTACTGTGGTAAACTTATAAATGTTTTCCCTCTTTTAAAATGTATCCAACACTAACTAAATTAATAAATAAATAACCACATCCACTTACATCACGTTGATTCCACTATATAGTGACTAAAAAGGACAGATTAGAATTTCCCTGCAGAGTTTCTAAGGTTACACATCTTAATGGAAGCAGACTGATGTATCTTCCTATCACGGACTGAGAGGTAAATTCAAACTGCTAACTTCTATGTTATTAGAAAAGGATATTTAATCAGTGAAGTACCATAGCTCCTTTTAAAATTTATATAGTAAGTATTCTGCCAAGTTTATAACCCAAGAACATTTCTTCAAGGATCTGGAAGCCCTCTCACTGAAACAGAAGAAAGCACCTGTTTCCCGATTCCAGGCCAGGAAGTGGGATGTGGAATAGGGGTGGAAAGTGGTTTTTTTGGTGGAGGGGGAGGAGACTAAATTCACGGGGCACCTTGCTCCAAGTTAAAAATTATCATGACAGTATGTAGTTTATTATTTCCTTTGAATAAAATAAATCAATAAACACCAATTGCGAGGTAAGATGAACAATGTGTGATAAGGATGCTGTCAAGTTCTACTTAAATTTTAACTATAATTTTTATCTTCAGATTGCATATGAAATGGATTATGAACAAAATGGCCTCAATGCTCCCATCAACCTCATTACATTTTAGACAGACTTCCCCCTGCTTCGTTCCTTCCCCTCCCCTGTTATTATAACAGTCAGGCACTCTAAGCACAACACAAGATAACAATCTAGGCCAAATGGTCCTAATTACAAATGTAATATATCACTCACCCCCTCAACTGACCAATCACTCTAGAAACCTGTACTATTTTGGCACAGCTATAGCACTGAGTCAGAAACGACCCATAGCTGAACCTCCAGCAGGTTTCCAGAGGTAGTTTAATTGCATAGGAGGAAACTGTCCAACTTTCTTCCACCAAGCAGCTTGTGGATTTAAACCACGTGGGTTCAGGATTGCAAAGCAGTTTCCAACCTCTAGACCAGCAGAGCTCCCTATTTTGCCACTAGTTCACCCTAAAGAAAAGAAAAAAAACTAAACAAAAACTCAGAACCATTGTTATTCGGCTAGAATCCACTCATAGGTAAGCTTCCAGTAGGTTCCTGAGCTATAAATCACATGGCAGAAGAATCGTCATCTTTCTTCCACAAAGCTGCTAGTAGATTTGAATCATTACAGAGGCATGACCTTTAAGTTCACAGTACAATCTCCTACAGACTACATCACCAGATGATATGGTTGCTCATGGTATAACCATAGGCTGCCAAAAGAGCAAACAGATCTGTCTTGGGACGTATGCAGGCAGAAAGCTTCTTAGAAGCAAAGTTGATGAAAATGTCTCACACACAGTAGGTATATTATTAGGAAAAGCCAATTCCCTATAGAGAGTGCTAACTTTTGTCTAAAACACATAGGAATGTGATCAATCTGTGAAAGCCATCATGTGTGGTAAGGTAGAGAAAAAGATGAAGATCCTCATTTAGATGGACAGGCATACTGGTTTTAACTAAGGGCTTAAGTACAGAGGTTAGAATGAGAATGCTAATGTATTGTTCAGTGTTTTATTCTGTGGTACATACAGGGTGTGAAAGAAGGAGATAGAATATGCATGCAGGTGGTCAATTATGACTTCAACCTACTTAAGAAGGAAGAAGTGTCCCCATCAATAACATTTATGTTGCTGTTGTAATTATATGCCAGGCAGTCACATGTGACTCATAGTGGCCCTATCTACAATAGCTCTGAACTCTACTCTATCCTGAGCCAATCGCACTGTCTCTAATACGACCACTCCCATTACTCCAGTTACTGTGTCAATCCATCTCATTTGGGGTCTTCCTTTCCTGTGCTGTCCTTCCACTTTTCCAAACATAATGAATTCTCCAAGGACTGGTCCCTCCTGGCAACATGCCCAAAGTATGTGAGACAGAGCTTCAAAATCCTTGCCTCCAAGGAACAGTCTGGTCTCACACTCTCCAGGACAGATTTGTTTGTTCTCTTGGCAGTCCATGGTGTGTCCAATGCTCTTCTCCAGCACTACAACTCAAAGACATCATTTCTTCTTCCTTCATTCAGTCACTGCCCAGCTCTCTGATGCATAGCAAGTAATTGCAAAGACCATGGCCTGGATCAGATACACCTTAGTCTCTGGATTAATATTGTTACTCCTTAGTACTCTGGAGAGGTTTCTGGAAGCAGGATTTATTTCCTGGATACAGATACCAAGAATGTTGATTGTGGAGCCAGGCAAACTGAAGCTTATTAAAAATTTCAGTCTCTTCTCTATCATGATGAGCAAGTTCAGGGCTACATCCATTTGTTGAAATACGTCTATTAGCATTCCATCACTTCCTGGGGCCTTGTTTTTTTGCCAATTTGCCTTGAACTTCCTGCATCACCATTGCCTCTTGATCATACATTATTTCATGAACTTCTTCTGTGCCACCCAGTTATTTTTGGTACAGTGACTGTGCACTCCTTCCATGTCTTTTTATGCTACATCTACCCTTCAACATTCTAACTATCACATCCTTAAGTACTGCAATTCGAGGATTGAATTTATTCTTCAGTTCCTTTAGCATAAGAAATGCAGAGCAAGTTCATCCCTTTTGATTTTCTGACTACACTTCCTTGCACATCTCAATACTTGGCTTTGTTTTCCCAAATTGACTTTTGAAACCATCTCTTCAGCTCCTTAACTTCCTGATTTCTTCCCTCTGCTTTGTCTTTTCATTGCTCTAGTGCAATTTTCAGGGTCTCTTCTGACATCCATCTTGGTCTTTTCTTCTTTCTGTCTTTATAATGACTTTTCCCCCTCCTCATGTATGATTTTCTTGATATCCTCCCACAGCTAATCCTGTCTTTGCTCATTAGTGTTCAAGGTCTCAAACTTGTTCCTAAGACAGTTTTGAAATTCAAGCAGGAAAAACTCAAGGTCAAATGTTGGTTCTTGTAGACTTAGTTTTCTTTAGATTCAGTTTGAACTTGCATATGAATAATTGATGGTCTAGTTTCGACAGTCAATACTGAGCTTCTCCAATGATACTTTTCCACAGATGTAATCAATCTGATTACTGTGTAGATCATTAGGTGAAGTCTATGTGTATAAGTGCTGTTTACATTTCTTATAAAAGGCATTTGCAATGAATAAATCATTGATTGTACAGAAGTCTATAATTCTATCCCCAACCTTCTTTCTGTCACCGAGTCTATATGTTTTCAGACTACCAATCCCTCTACCCTGCTCCCAACTTTTTCTTTCTTTTTTTATTATTATTAATTTTAATGAACATTTACAGAGATTTTAGATTTCCATTAATTCATTGTTGCACTTTTCTTCCCCCACCCCCAGTTTGCTCTTCTCTGAAAAGTAAAAGAAAAATTCCTTCATTGGTATACAAACGCCCTGCGCCCCCCAACCCCAAGTATATTCCACTCTGCAACCTTCATTCTGGACACTTATGATAATCATAATGCCATATAATGTATTGCTTTTAAACTGTTCTCCCCCTCATCCGTTTCAATGCAGCATACATTTCATCTAGTTTTTGTCATTCTTACCCCACCCTGTTGTCAGTCCCATTCTACAGCAGTGGCACTGTGCAGTTTTTGTCCTTTTGTGACTGAGATAATTCACTCCGAATAATGTCCTCCAGGGTCACCCATTTTTAATAATATTGCATGAGTTCCTTGTTTTCCAATGCAGCGTAGTATTCCATTGTGTGAATATACCAGAGCTTCTCTATCCATTCGTTCATTGATGGGCACTTAGGTTGTTTCCAACTCTTTGCTATTGTGACCAAAGCTGCGATAAACATGGATATGTATATATTTATTTGCTTGGATGGTGGTTATAGTCTCTTTGGGGTATATTCCCAGTAGTAGAATTGCTGGGTTAAATGTTATCTCTATTTGCAACTTTGTGAGAAAGCACCATACCGTTTTCCACAGTGGTTGCACCATTTTATACTTTCACCAACAGTGAATAAGGATTCCGGTTTCTCCACAACCTCGCCACCATTTGTTGCTTGCTCCTCTGTTAAATTCTGCTAGGCTTACTGGGGTGAGATGATATTTCATAGTTGTCTTGATTTCCATCTCTCTTAGAGCTAGGGATTTTGAACATTTCTTCATGTGCTTGTTGGCCATCTGAATGTCTTCTTTCATGAAGTGTCTGTTCATATCCTGTGCACATTTTTCTATTGGATTACTTACCTTTATCTTGTTGTGATGCTCAACTATTTTATAAACTCTAGATATAAATCACTTATCTGATAAGTCATTACTAAATACTTTTTCCCAGTCTGTGGCTTCCCTTTTTACCCTGTTGGAAAAGTTTTTGGATGTGCATAGGCATTTGATTCTTAGAAGGCCCCATTCATTTGTTTTCTCTTCTCCTGGTTGTAGATTTTTCAGGATACTTGGAAGACTGTTATGTTTTGGATTAGGACTACTAGAGTTCTTCCAAGCTTTTCTTTAAAGATTAGAGTCCTTGGTTTTAGTCCTAGATCCATGATCCACCTTGAGTTGGTTTTTTTATATGGAGTGAGGTGTGGATCTTGCATAAGTCTTCTGCAGATAGTTTTCAAATTTTTCCAACACCATTTGTTTAAAAGGCTGTTGTTTCCCCAGTTAACTGATTGCATCTCCTTGTCAAAAATCAGTTGACCATAGGTAGATGGGCTGATTCCCAGGTTCTCAATTTTATTCCATTGATCTATGTGTCTGTCATTGCACCAGTACCACGCTGTCTTAACTACCACAGCAGTGTAGTAGGATTTTAAATCAGGGAGTGAGATGCTTTCTACCTTTTTCCTATTTTTAAGGAGTGCTTTGCTTATTCTGGCTTCTTTGCATTCCAAATGAAACTGGAGACTGCCTTTTCCATCTCGTTGAAGAATGGGATTGGTATTTTTATTGGGATTGCATTGAACGTGTAGTATTGCCATTTTCACAATACTGAGTCTTCCTATCCATGAGCAACTTTTACATTCTGGCCACCCATTATTATTAATTCATCTGGGTTGCATGCTTGACAGATCTCCAATTGCTATAACATCTATGTTGTTGTTGTTGTTGTTGTTGTTTGATGCCGTCGAGTCGTAGACGACTCATAGCGACCCTATGAATGAATGGCTTAAGCCATTCATACATAGAGTTTCTGGAGGCAAGCCATTTCGGAAGTGGATGCTGCTCCTGCTTCCAGATAACATCAATAGTACTAAATAAATAACTACATGGCCAGGCATACAAACCCCCATGCTCCTGCTCCTATTTCCATGAATCGTTAGGTCCAATGTTCGTTGCAAACTGAATCAAAGACTTCATTCACAGTTACAAGGTTTATTACAAAAACAGGTTGTGGGGTGGGGGACACAAAGGATATTTCACGGTGAAAGTGCAGCTTTAGTGAACAGCAGCCCCACGCCAGACTAACAGCAAGACACACATCTCAGTTCAGACAGGTTCTCAGTTAAGATGTGAAGCCAACGTTCAGTTCAGCAGCACAAATAAACTTCTGGTTTCCTCAATCATTTAGCAAGTTTTGCCTCATAGCAGTCACAAATCAGCTCTTCATTCAGTCACCCAGAAAGAAAACCTTTAATTTTGGCTCCATCTCCAAGGTTCTGTCAGGTTACACCTTACGACAGGCCTTTCACCATCTCGCACCACAATCTCTACAGTGTGGAAAGCACTCTCTCTTATATTGGTCCCACAGTTGTTTATGATTTGCTGTTGAGATAGCTGAAGAACACGAAGTCAGTGGGGGTTAACACAATGGATAGAAAAGCCATTTTACAAAGTTCTAATACCACACAGGGTCACTAAAAATTGGTACTGCCTTGACAGAACCTAACCAAAATAAAACCTAACATAAGCATAGCATCTCAGAAGTGCTCTCTTCATTTACTGAGCTAATCAGACCATCATCCTTAATTCTGTACTTTTGTACATCCAGAACAAAAGCAGGCTCACAAAGTATATTCCTTTAACCAGGCACTCTCCTCACTATTACCACTCTAGTCCAAATGATGATCATCATCTCTTGAACCTGGAGAAATGTGTTAAGATCTCTCTCTTTGTTTCTGTAACTGACTCCCTACAAACAGCTCACTATTGAAAAGTTAGTTTTCTCAAAAGCATGGAATTAACAAGTTTTACTGAGTGAAATTCTACAGAAGTCACCCATCAGACTATGAATAAAATCTGTATTCTTCTCATAGTCTCTATTTTTTACATGTTCTCCTCTTTGAACTTGGTATCATAGCCTCCTACTCTCCTCATTGTTTATTTTGGGCAGTTTTGTGCTCTATGAAGACATCAAGTATATGTGTTCCACAGAGATTGACACTTGTTCTACTTGACTCAACCAGGTTTCTGCTTAAAATAACTTCTCTGAGAAACCTTGTTTTCCTATCTAAAATAGAACTTCACATTCTCAATTTCCTTTATTTCTTTTCGTTGTCTTATTAAAACTTACATTACATTATATACATATTCTATTTGTTACTCCTAATAGAACACTGTCTAACTCTCTAAAGCATAACAAGTAATTGAGAAGACATGGCTTGGGTTAGGTGCACCTTTGTCTCTAGACTTAACAATGAGCTGGACAATAACTAAGGATGGCAGAAGAAGATTCGATTCCTTCAAGTTGTAGTGCTGGAGAAGAGTCTTGAACATACCATGAACTGACAAGAAAACAAATTGGTCCTTCTTGGAGAGGGTAAAACTAAGTCTCTCTTTGGAGGCTAAAATTCTGAAGCTCCATTTCAAATACTCTGGGCACATTGCCAGGAGAGACTAGTTCTAGGAGAAGGACATCATGCTCAGAAGAGTGGAAGGACAGCACAGGAGAAGGAGACCTAGGATGAGATGGATTGATACAGTATCTGAGGCAACAGGGGTTGATGCGTCAGAATTAGTGAGACTAGTGCAGACGGAGAAGGGTTCAGAGCTGATGTACACAGGATCACTATAATAAGCAGGCCACTCAATAGCACATAACAGCAACAACAACATACTATAGTGGTTGGGTTTTTATTTAAGCCTCATATTTAGAGTCAACAAGATGTCAGGGAGGGCCTTTGTATTTAAACATTGGTTGTTACTACATCTTGGATGAACATTCTGCTAAGTGGTCCAGCACTTTTCTGTCAATATACTGCACGAAGGTAACCTGGGGTTGCTATGATGCTGAATCTTGTGCCACTGGGTGTCAAATGCCATAACATTTACCCATGGTGGATAGTGTTTGGTGGAGCTCCTATTTTAAAACAGATTTTGAAGCAGAGAAGAATCCACTTCCTAAACAACATGCTTCTGGAAACTCCTTGAACTTTGCAAAATGACAATAGTTGTAGAAAGGCTTCCGGCCTTTTATTCATAGGGTCACTATGAGTTGTGCTCAACTCGACAGCAAGCAACAACAACAAAAATATAATATAAATTCCACAGAGGAAGAAAATTAGCCTAAAGTATTTTACTGTTTCATACTCAGTTACTATTATATATTTATAGAGATAAAATGCCTGTTAAATAATTTATGTATATGATACTCAACGAATATCTGACATAACCTGATAAAAGGACACGTGTTTCTTTTTCTTAGTTTTCTAGGGTTAACACTAACAGATTTCAGTGAGAGGAGACAAAGAAAACAGCAGGGGAGCAATGGGTTGAAATGTCAAATAAAGCAAAATTCAATCACTCTATTGCCTGTCCTGACACTTATGTATGAAATGGAATAAATAATCAGTTAAACTGTCCGTTCAGTGTCCCCAAGCTATCTCCTAGCACTATTCCTGAACTACTGGCCTTAAAAATCAAAGCAAAAGTGAGAAAGCAGAGCTAAAATAATTTCACTTTTTGTCTCACAAAAGAACACTTTTAACTTCTATCGGTAGCCTCTGTAAGCAGTTATGGAAGGATTGGTTTTAGGATCCTCCTTGGATACCAAAATCCAAAGTCCTTGTAGAAAACAGTATACTATTTGTATATAGTCTACAAACAAGCTCGCATATATATATTAAATTCTCAATACATTAGCTGTAGTACCTAATTCACTATAAATCTTATATAAAGAGGACTTTATACTCTCTCTGAGCTTTTGAGAGATTGCTCTCATTACTACTTAAATGCTTTCTAGGTGCCTTTCTCCACCCCTACCCTAATATTTTTGATCCATGGATAGTATGATCTGGATGTTTAACCTGTGGACAAAACAGGCCACTTCTTTTCTAAGATTTCTTTTTTTAAAAAACTTAATTTTAATGAAAGTTTACAGAGACTTAGGGTATTCATTCACTGTTGCACTTCTCTCCCTGCCCACTCCCTTTTCCAAATTCGCTCTTGTCTTTGACAAGTAAAAGGAAAATTCTTTCATTATTATACAATCCCTCCCCACAAATCCACTCCACTGAGCAACCTTCATTCTGGACTCAAATATACTACATTATATAAAACAGATTAATCATTTCTTATCTGATGAGAGGCAAAGAGTATTTAAAACATTATTTCAACAATTTAGAGAGGATAAAGATGCAGTAATAGTGAAAACAACTACAAAGTAGTGTTAATAAGTAAATATACACTACAAAACAGATTAAAAGAAAAGGGTGGAAAAGAGAGCAGCCTTGCATACTTGAAGAGGTCGCAGGTAAGTTAGAGACTTCTTCCACCACTGCCCATCACTGACAGCCTGCAGCACAGCTTTGGTGGTTGTCGTGGTGTTGGAAAGGACTTTCATGGTCGTAGCAGTGGTCCAGTGTAATAGGTCAGCTGAACCGCTGTCTGCAATATTTACTTCATCCTACAATTTAAAAACAAAATGGCAAAAAAGACATTGTCTCTAAAACAGCAGAGTGGTAACAATGACTACTTTAAAATATCAGTCTTTAGACATGAAGATATATAAATTTAGAAATTCATCTTTGTTAGAAAAAAGTTAACGCACGAGTTTACTAATATTTCATCTGAGGAATTTTTTACTCAATATTATTTCAATATAATTATTTCATAACATGTCTTTTTTTAATTTAATTTAGTTTGTTTATTTTTCATTTCAATGAACATCTACAGAGATTTTGGG